AGGCGAGGATGGCAGGGAGCGGGCACAGAGCGAGGACGCACGCGGGGAGTAGGAGGGACAGATAGAGGGAGGAGAGCTCTAGAAAGACCTTGGAGGATTGAGGGAGAACGATCAGAGAAAGCAGAGTAAGAGAGAGAGAAAGATCAGAGACACCCAGAGGCAGAGAGGTTGGAGAGAGATAGCCAGAGGGGGCAGAGATCCGGGAGAGACTCTCAGAGGGACGTCCTTGGTGGTGAGTCATGAGTTGGGGTGCAGTGCAGCTCCTTCCTGCAGCTCCAAATGTTAGTAAACATAGTAAGTACCCCCATGGGCCTCCTCCTGAGCCCCTGCCTCTCTCCCCTCCAGCCTGGCTCCTCAGTCCTGGGAAGATCTTGCTCACTGCACCTCTGGGTGCATCCCTCCCAGTCTCAAACACCTCCCATGGATCACAGAGCCCCACCCCCGTGGCCAGGCTCCTGCAGGGCAGGCCCAGAATCACCTATCTCACTGGCTCCTCCTGCTATTTCCTCACTTTCTCCTTCAGTCTTCACTGAACACCTACTGTGTGCCACAGACAATTCTAAACTAAGCCCTGGGAATTACAGAATGACCAAAAGGAACCAAATCCCTATTGTCACAGAAGAGACTTACATCAGAGTGGGGAAATCTGAGAACAAGGGAATCTTTGTTGACTTAAGTTGTGCAGAGCCATCAATGCTGTGACAATAAAGCAAGCAGGAGAGAGGGGGTGGTGATAGCAGAGAGTGAGGTGGCTCTGGAGACAGTGTGTTCCAGGCAGAGGGAAAGGCCCTGGGGGGGGGGGGGGGACACTGCTTGGTCACCCTCAGGCATGGAAAAGAGACCAGAAATGGTTAGGGTGAAGGCCCTGAGGGGATTAGGGATTGGCGGCACAGCTCTTTCCACCCGGTCCAGGTCCAGAAGCTTCTCTTTCTCTTCCACAAAATGGCTAAGATCCTGGACCCCATAGCTTGGACCTTACTGCATCAGAAGCCAGAGTCCATGGCTGTGTGCCCTTGGGCAAGTCACATGGAGTTTCAAGTCTCAGTTTCCTTATCTGTGACATGATCCTTCCTTTACTGGTATTTTCAAGAATTGAGAGACAGTTGAAGCCCTTAGCCAAGACTGGTGCATAACAGGTGTTAGGCAGATAAGAGCTGTTTGTTATCCTGATGGTTTGCTTTCCCATCCTGATTATTTCTGGTTTCTCTGAGTGGGGCCAAGAGCTCTGCCAGTTGAGAGCAAGAGACAGCTGTGGCCCTGCCTTGTTTTGTGGCTTTGATGATTTCCTGCCTCAGTTTCCCCCTATGCACAGTGGGGAGAACGTGAGACCGTTTAGAGGTCCCTAATTCCACCGTCACTGCAGCACAGCTTGTTTTCATTTCTCTTCCAAGTCCACGTTCAAGCCCAAGCTGCAAACACCCAGATGACTCGGCAAGGAGGAAGGCCACGTAAATATTTCAGGCAGCAGATGTACCTGGCCAGCCTGGACTGTGAATGTTTAATGTGTCACATTCTAGTTATATATAGCTCATATTCCAAGGGTGTTTTACTCCTGAGCTGGGAAATCCAGAAATCTTGCTCCTGCTGAGCCCTGGAGGCCAAACCCCAGGAGGAGGTGGGCCTGACTCTGGGGTGACACTGTTCCCAGGAGCCCCTCACCCTGGGGGTGCAGAAGGGGTGTGTGGGGACAGGGGCTGAGTCAGTCTCAGGCCACAGGGGCCTGTGGGATTTTCCAACATGGACGATATTAGAACCATTGTATAGACGGAGAAATCAAGGCACAGACAGAGCCAGAAACCCTCACACCCTTGTTTCACGCAGACCTCCTGCTGGAAAGACCCTTGGAAAGAGGGAAGGGGCTGGGAGAGGGGAGGGGTCCGTGAAGACAAGGGGTCTTCGAGAAGGGACCCCCCCCCCAGGAACGAGGTCTGAGGGAGGGCGGGGTAGTCAGAAAGGTGTGGATTCACCTCAGTCTCCGCTGCTCCCCTCCCCTCAAGTCCCGCGCCCAAAGAGCTGGGAGCATCGCTTTCCCGCCCCCTCCTCCTCACATTGCCCCCTCCCTGAGTTTCTCTACCCCTCCCCCTCGCCTCTTTCCCTCCTTCCTTCTAGTCCTCTTACTCCCTCCCTTCCTTCTCTCAATCCCCCTCCTTGGCCCCTCTTCTCTCCTTGTCCCCCTCCTCCCTCCCTCCTGTCTCCCCTTTTCTCCCTAACCCCCCCTTCATTCTCTTCCCCTCCCCCTCCACCCCTCCCT